TGTCTAGCTCTCTTTTGACACTAAATATGCTTATCTTTGATATGCACTACCTACAACGAGGTCTAGATTCTCTCCAATAATTGTGGCCTACAATAAAATTTTGCTTAAGCAAATGTTTGCTTAACGAATTTGGCAAAAGGTGACTAAAGCGAATTTAATGAAAAAGTGATTTTTACTTAAACTAAAATTGCAAAATATTTAGAACTTCATTTTTTTCCTCTCTACTACATAAACATTAAGGAACCTTTGTACAAATTGTTGTGGTCATCTTTATTGTTGGCCATGCATGTACAAGTAACTTCGTTTTCAAAGAGTCTCTTTAGAAAGTGAAGGAAAAAGCCACAATGTTCATTATACATATTAGAAATTTCTCATTCCTTCCCGGTTCCATTATGTAACATCCTCAATTTTTTATTTCAAAATAAATAAATTTTATAGCGAAAGAGAAAAATAGAAGAACTTTTGTTCTATTTATAATTTAAGGATTGAATAAAAACAAAACTCACATTTCTCTTATGAAAATTTTATAATATTCTAAAGTATTTAAAACTTCAAACGAATAAATTCGAGACTTTAAAGTAATAAATAAAACTTAAATTTACATCTGACACATTATATGGTTCACGTGGTATACATATAAGTTCAGAATATCATTAAGAACATCTCCAAAAGTATTTATTACAACAAAATTCACCAAAACATTATAAATTCTAAAATTTGACATTAAAGAAATATTTACATAACTTAGTCAACATGAAATGTAATTAGGATAAAATATTATAATTTCTCAAATTGTTCTAGTCCCTACAGAGCAACCTTTCTTCCAATACCATTGGATTATGATCCTAGAATGGACAAACATTCACTTTTATTACCTAAAAATATTAGTAAAGGTGAATATCTCCTGCCCTATTAAATCTCTTTGCTCGACATAAAATTTATATAATACAGAAATATTGGCTAATATATTTCTAACACACATCAATTAACAATAACACTCAAAACATACAAATCATCATCAGAGCAGAGTACACATCTGCCAAATCAATCATTTTTGCAATTATTTATGACATATATTTTCTACACTAATCTGTATGTCATAATATATGTATTCTATCATATCAATCAATATGTCACAATACGTGTGTTCTAATCACACCTGTCAATGTATTACAACACATATATCGTAACAACATTAATCGATATGTTACAATGCATATATTATAGTCATACAATCTCTATACTACTTTATGTTCATCACAATTTCATATTCATTATTCATTGTCCCAGGAATCCCTTGAGAACTTCATAGCATAAATAGCTACTGATTAGCTACAGCAACAATCTATATATGTGCCGACCCGACTCCTTTTAGCAAAAGATATAGTTAGGAGTCTCATCAGGAAATGAGTGTGTGGCCTGTGAATGCTTCTACTTTTAGCAAATTATTATGCACCCATTTACAATTAGCATTCACCACCCTCATTTTCCCAAGATTTTCCAAATCTTCTTTGGACTATATACTCCCAGTGTATCTCTATAACTATCTATACTTACTCTCAGCATTTCTCAACTATTCTCATTCTTTTCCATATCCTTCTTACAAATCAACATATTATAATACGTGAGTCTTGATCATATAACTTAATGTATTACAATACATGTATTATGAGTACACCTTTGATGTACCACAATACCCGTATCATAATCACATTCATCAATCTATTCTGGCTCACGCATTATTATCACATTTCTCACAATTCCATCATCATGTCATATCATTTCATTTCAACATACCTAAATCATCAACAAACATTCATCTAACACAAAAGATTCTCAAACAATTTCACACCACACAGATCAATACAATGTGCCAGATGTCGGATACCTCCGGACCTAACCCAATCGTACAACCCAGCATACACACTTTCTGAGTAATAACAAAGTGGTCTATCCTAAAGTTCAATATCACTTTTTCATACATAAATAATAGTCAAATATTAAAAATTCTTTAGAAGTTTAGTTACTCATCTTTTCACTATAAAATTTTATCTAGATAATCTTTGCATTAAATTATTAGTTCCTTATACCCAAAATTTCATTTGTAGTAATACAATTTAGAGAATCATTGGAGTTCTATTACCAAAACAAAATACCAAAGTTAGGGTTCAAAAGGGGGTTTTCATGTTAAACTCTCTATCCTACACATTAGATTTTTAAGAAAACCTTAGTATTTTAGGATCCCAATAGAAACTTAGCATTTTCAAACTAAAATAACAAAAAGGAGTTAGGGTTTGTGATCAACTCCTCTTACCTAAAAATGAGTCTCTCAGATCGAGTTCCTACAGATCTAAGGGAGAGGCACAACATCCTGGTAAAGGATATCGTCTTAGGGGTTAAGGTTTTCTTGAGTATCACAAAGTACAAACCTTTAAATCGGATAAATGGAGAAATAAGAATGAAGTTGAAGAATCAAACTCAAAAAAACTTACTTGGATCTGAATGGTTGAGCTTTTAAGCCCAGATTCGAAGGAAGATTGAAGTTTAGAGGAGGATTTTTGAGAAGAAAAGGTGAGAGATTAGAGAGAACAGAGGAAAGGTCAAAATTTTAGATTGTAATCTAAGTTTTTTAGGTTGAAGGCCCTTAAATACCTCTTAACTCGCGATATTCTCGCTATAGTGAGCTAATTCTCGCTACAGAGAGCCCTCATCTCGCTGCAGCAAAAAAATCAGACAAAATTTTTCTTTGTTGTCTGTCATTCTAGCTACAACAAGAGCTCCTCGCTATAGCTAAAGCATCATTGTTACAGCAAGATAATCCTCGCTACAGTGAGAGAGCATCAAAATGCCTGATTTTGGACGTATCTTTCTCGCTACAGTGAGATATCCTACACCCAAAACTCATATTTCTATACAAGGACCACAAAAATAAGGGTGTTACACATTATATGGCCATATTGAGGAATATTTGTTTCTCATTAATGGCTATTTAATTATCAAAGACCCTTACATATATCATTCTACAAATATTCCAAATGTATTGTCTAGTACGCCACTTGTGCTAAGCATTGGTAAAGTGTAACCATTTGAAATAAAGTTAAATTGTTGAGAATAATGATAAAAATTATAGAGATGATAACTTTGAAAATTTGGTTGAAAAATAGCTATAGTATTACATGATTTGGGATCCTTAAGTCATTGTGGTACGAGAATCCCTAATTGATAAGTCATTTCTTTAGAAGATATTGTGCTTTGGCCTCAACCATGTAATGAAACAAGAATTAAGAAACTTCTCATTTGTATATTGGACATTGGGACTTCTGTTTCTCTTTATTTTCTATGGAGACTCTTTGAAAATAAAGTCATTTATACATACATAACTAATAATAAAGATAATCACAAATTATGACTACAGAATTTTTCACTAAGGTTACTTAATATTTTTGTAGTATAAACAGAAAGAAGATGAAAATTTAAAATTTTTCATAATTTTAGCTTAAACAATTTTTATTTTTTATTTTTTACTTAAATAAAAATCACTTTTTTACTAATTTAAACTATTTTTTTTCTCTTATATAAAAATTACTTTTTATCAAATTTACTTGAGTGAATTTTTTCCACTTAAGTAAAATTTTATCACAGGCTACAGTTACTGATAAGTATCCAGATGCCCTACAACGCTAGTTAATTAAAGCATTTAAGTAAATTTTGCAAGTATCATTTACAAGAAAGCTTGGAGAAGCAAACGCAAAAGAAGAAGAAAATCTGTATTCTAGAATTGAAGCGGTGGGATCTCGTAACAAAACACGAACCTCATGTGAGAACTAATAAACTTATTCTCATTTCTATCACAACAACAGCCCCAACGTGAATTACTCAGCCCAACTACAACCGAACAAGAAATCATCATAGGTTTAGTGGGTCTTCGACCAAAAACAAAGAAACCCCCAAGAAAATAAAGACTAACCTTAAGTCGAGAAACTAAATTCACGGACCTTGAGTGAAAATCAAATGAAACAGGCCTCGAGCCTATAGATTAAGTGCAAGTCTTAAATCGAAACTAAATTGACCTAAAAATAAAAATAAAAAATACATGCCTTGAATGGAAATATGGAAAGTAGGAATACAATACAAAACAAAATAAATAAAAGATTTCCATATCATTAACTGATACGAAACGTCGTTATTTTTTACTTTGGATTTATTTGTGGAAAGAAATTCTGAATTTAGTGTTGACATAATATATTTCCTTTATTTACTAGAATGCAAAATGTTATTTTTCGTACTACAAATTGTTTGAAAAATAAAAACACAATTCAATAAACTCAACTAATTCAATCTCGATGGATGAATACTTCGATCTACTAAAAAATTTGTCAAAACCTTTAATAATTTATTTTGATTAATTCAGTATAAAGAAAAAGAAACAAGCCAAAACCAACTTTATGACCCTTACACCTCGTAGCGTGTAATCATGGGCAAAGTTTCAAGATTGCACTTACCTCAATGCATCAACATTCTTAGTTTCGTTTTGGTCGTGGGTCAACAACCTTTTCATATTATCTTATTTTCAACCAATTTAGTCTTTGAACAACCAAATTCTTAATTTTTGGAACCAAATTTAGATTATGCCAAGAATGCAAAGCCCATTGGAGTCATCATAACAAAATGATGCGGACTAAAATCAATTACTAATGCTGCCACACCCCTAAGCCTCGTCAAATCAATCATCTCTCTGGTGAAACAATTTTATAACAAGGGTATAGGGTTTCAATTCAAAGGAAATCATGTACGCTCAAGAATATTTACAAGAGAATTTACAGTTACCTTATTCCAAAGAGACAGGTAAAGACTCAAACCTATATGTAAGTCTCCTGTTTCATTTAGACTAACTACTCGGAGCTAAGCATTTCTCTTCACTAATTCACCACTGACATATCACTAATAACGCTAGTATTATTGGAGATGAGATTCATCTGTTCGGCGTCGAAAAACTGATGGAGACAAGAATCTTAGTATAGCGAACTCATCAGTAAATTCAGAGTAAAAAAAATGGAGATAAATTCACTGATCAATCAAAATGAAAAAGAAAGGAATAAATACATGTAACCAAAATAGGCCAAGAGTAGTATCCCAAAGGTTGATCACCTTGAAAACTGAAGCCTAAGCTAACGTTGTCCCTTAATGGATTTCGCCCAAGGAACCCTTAACATACTAAAGCCAAGATTTCCATCTTCATAAGACAAAAAGAAAGAAAAGGATGATAGTTAGCCGTATCTTCCCCTCCCTCTTCCTCTCCCCCTTCCCCTTCCCCTTCCCCTTCCCCTTCCTCCTCCATGTGACATTTGAAGGCTACCACCAGAATCCCTATCATATGTGAACATACTCATTCTAATATTTTGTGCCTCAGTTTCATGAGTTCCCCTTCGTACCTGAATAAAGCACATATAAGACAGAATGGAGAAAAACAAGCATTGCAAAGATAGAATGATGAAAAGAAAGAAAAACAACACAGCTTAATTCACAAAAATTAGTATTAGTGTAAGCCACTGACCTGAGAATCTTCAAGATTAAATTGATTCTGAAGCTGCCTAGCAAGATCCTCATCATAACTAACATCTTGATCCTTGTCTTTATTAGAAGGCTTTGCCTGGGCCTTTCTGTTTTCATATTCTTCCAGAGTGAATACAAGTGGATCTTCTTGTTTCCCCTTTCCCCTATGTCTCCGACCCTTAGAATGCCTATCATCCAGATTGGGGTGATTCAGTTTCTGAAGTAATTTTTGAGCAGCTGCTTGATTCTGTACAGGAACAGTTTCCACAACTGAAAGGGATCAAACATCAATATTGCATTAACACAATCAGAGAGAAAGGACAAAAAATAATTAATAAAAAATGGATTCCGGCATTAAATCCACAGATACTTTGCTATTTTATATCATTTCTATAATTTAATTGATAAGTTCATTCCCAAAGAGATGCAGAACGTCTCCTTGTCAAATTAAACATCTGACCACTGAATCACTTCCCAGGGCATTTGAATGTTGGTTTTTAATAAGCACTGCTTGTTATGTTGAGACTACTCTATCACTTGGCAAGCAGATGCCAGTCCAACCAACAAAAAATAACAGAGGAAAAGAATATCAATACCAGATTGAACTTTCCCTGCTCTGAACTTAATTTCAGATGCACCTCAAATTTACAATATCATATATACCAAAAGCAAATAGCAGAGAAAGATCAGACAAAGGAAGCACCTTCTTTTTGCCTTGTGCCTGAACTACTAGCCTTGTCTTCAGCACTTTCTGCAGCTGATTTGGAATTTAGATTTGCATCCAAAATATCTGCTTTTTGATTAGGATCTTGCTGGATACCAGTTGGCCTCATCTCAGCTTCACAAACCACAGGAACAGGCTTATGACTTCTATAGTTATTATTTGCATGACCTGTTGGAGATCAATTTCTTTGTCAACAGCAGGCAAACTATTGTGTTCTGAATCACAAATAACACCTTTGATGTTTGAAGCTCTATTTAACAAATAGGGTATCCATATTCATTCAAGTATTCATTAAGACTAATATTTCACTAACTTCCCTTGATGTTACATGCTTACATTACACTGATCTCACTTGATGGTTTATTTCAATGGTATGAAAATGGTAAAGAGGTGGTGTCCATGTTAGGAGTTTTTCTAATATAAAATGGTCTGGAAAAAATATAATGGGAGGTATTGCTATTATGAAAACAAAAAATGTGATATGTGTAATATTCAAAAATCAAAACTAAGGGCTGATTTTCAAGTTTTTCAAGTAGTGGAGATCAATATAACTTCCTCCATCAAGTAGTCCTTTGTTACTAAACTACCCATTTAAAAAGCTTACAGCAAGAAGAAGAGTGGTAATAGAATACCATAGCCACATGGAGTTACTAATAATAGTGACTGTCTGGTGGATAATTAATTGTGTTAGTGTGGGGCTGGAATTAATAGATAAGGAGAAGGTATTTTAACACTCGAGAAGAGAGTAAGAGAGTTTGTAATTGTCCAAAAGACAGTAAATTATAATAATGGGAGGACTTATATAAAGAAAAAGGATGGAAAGTTAGAGAGGTACTTTAGATTTGGGAATTTTGAACATAACAGTAGTGGGAGAGTCCAGGTCTCTCGAATACCTGGGAGAGATACTTTTTGTTTTTTTTCTGTATTCATCATAGAACTCATTTCATATATCAATCTGATATTGAGCTAGAGTCTAAGGTTGGTTTGAATTTTGAATATATTTGCAAGTTTTTCTATCATTTTGGAACCAGTTAGATTCAGACCATGGTGATGTTAGGATCCAATTAGAAGGTAGTCCCACATTGGAAGTATGGGATTCTAGAGCAGTAATGGTCACCCAGGAAATAATGTACTTATTTATCAATTCCAATTTTGTTCTAATAATAAGAATTCCTTTATAGTGAACAATATTGACTAAGCCAAAAACACAATCAACATTCAAGAAAAAGCAGTGCAAGCAGCAAATAAAAAACAAAGAAAGACAAATGGTGCTCCTTTTAACCTGAAGAAGATCCAACCTGCAGCTTCACAAATGGTGGAGGACCACCAGTATCACGATCCTCTATCTTTCTTAAAGACGATCGGGAGAATCCTGAGTATTTTTGGTTCATCTGCCATTCTTCATAGAGTGATTGAACAACACCTCCTAATACAGTCAATACTTTAGGATTTAAGCAAACTATACCGCTGTGAACCGCAACTTTATTTTCCAAACGTATCTGTCCAATGGAAACACAACAACAGTATCATAAAGGTTAAATTAATTTAAGAATACACACATAGAAATACAGAATCACAGAATAAACACACAACATAGGAGAGAAAACAATAGCTCACATAATCATTAAGGTATCAGCATGCCGCATACTATAACAGAAAAGCAAGATCAGCAAACAAGACAAATTCAAGATGCTCAAAAGAACATACCAATTGTATCAATCAAAATGTTCAAATACCGCTATCATGCAGTTGCAGCAAAGGAAACGGTATACACTAACAGCAAGAAGGCATTACCTTAGTACCCGGGACCACATTGTCGGGTATAGAAGGAACGTGAGAATATTCGACAGCAGTAATCTCTGAGTGACCATCAGTGAGACACAATCTGAGAAGTCTCCGACCACCTGAATTTCTGAATATGTCATCCACGCTGCTCTTAGATATGTCCCTCACCGAAGATATCTGCTAAAGTAAAGCTACTAAAAAACTGAATCGCAACAAAGAAAATGTTGTTATTATGTTATTCAATGAAAAGAAAGGGTTACCTGAAGGATTTTGGGGCCGTGAATAAAAGAAGAAGGGTTGCGAAGAAGAGGTAAGGACTTGGCTCCGATGGATCTGAGGTCGGAATTGAGGAGCTCCGACTCGACGGAATCAACAACCTTGGAACGATCATCGGCAAGTGCGGATTGAATCACGATGATGGCCTTCAATTCCTCTCTCTCTTCCAAACACCAACCTCTTCTTCTTAGGGTTTCTAACACCGTTCCCCAATCTGAACCATGTGAATTCTCCGCCATTTCAACTTCAACCACTCAGTCTCTCTCCCACTCCCAGCCTCAGCACGGAATGCACTGCACAACCCTCCAAAAACGTGTTCGGTTTTGTATTTTGTATGTATGCAAGCTACAAATTGCTTCAAACCTGCATTTTGGCTTCAACTACAATTTTTAAATTCAACATGTTTTAAAATTTCCAAATTAATTTAAATTATTATAAATACGCTTTTTTACCTGCTCTATTACAATCATTTGTTATTTCTTATTACTTTTAAGAATTTAATTTAAAATTTATAAATTGAATATGTTTTGAAATTATTGTGAATAAATATAATAAATAAACAATTAATTAAGCTTAAATGATATGTAAGCAATTAATTTAATATTAAATAAACATTAAGCAAGGAAATAATATAAAAAGGTAAAAGAAGAGTCGTAAAAATAGAAAACTTAGGGTCGTTTGGTGTGAAGAAATATTTTGTTATTTTATTTTGTATTTTTAAATATTTGTACAAGAAACATTAAACATAGCTTTTTTTTTTTATAGAAATCTTATAAATAAGAAATAAAATAAAAATAAAGTGATAGGTTTGTAATTAAAGTAAAAATAAAAAATAATTCTAGAAACTAAGAGCTTGTTTGTTTTCTCTTTTTAAATAGAGTTTTTAGTTTTTAAAATTAAAAAATAGGAAAACTTGTTTGTTAATGTAAGTTTTAAAAACTATTTTTGAAAATTAATTTTTATTTTCAGTTTTTAAAATTGAAAAACAGAATTGCTATTTAGGAGAGCTTTTGTTTTTATTTTTCTGTTTTTCTTTCTAAAACTAACAAAAGTCTAACTAAATATGGTTTTAAAAACTAAATTACGAAACAAAATTTATTTTATTTTATTTTTTAAAAACAGTTTTATAAATTTATTTTAAAATCTAATTTTTAAAATTAAAATTAAAACTAAATCAAATAAACCCTAAATAAATTCTTTATTTTTTTCATTGGGTTCCAAACTTTGAAATTTCACCTTTAGGTTAGTTATAGAGTAGAGGTGCTTGCTAGTAATTTTGGAGTAATACAACTTATAAGAAGAAATTTTTTATTACTAAAATATTATACACAACAGAAGAAAAGTTAGACACATGATGTTAATAGATTTTGACTCACATATCATTTATATTTTTATTATTATATACAACTCCTCAAAAAGGTTTTAAGTCCTTCTTAGGTTTAGATGTCAATTTGCATGCTAAATTTTATAATTATAATTCAACTAAGTTGGCTTAAGCAAAAATAAAACAAAGGCTAATATTTATCCATTTATGTAAAATAGCTTAGGCAAATATATAATCGTTTAAGCAAAATTGATGCATTAAGTGAATTGTGGTTCACTTTAGTGAATAATGCAAAAATAACAGCAAATAACACTAGAACATTGACTAATTTTACCAAAAAAGTAAAAAAAATAAAATAAAAGACAATAAACATTTAGAAAGTTAGATAACTATTTTATATATAAATTGTATAATTAAGTTTCATCCATTAGAGGTCCTTAAAAAAAATACAACATAAAAAAACAACAAACTGGAACTGAAATCTATAATAAAACAAGGAAAAAATAGAACAAAAAAGCGTTCATGCATCTTCTTCATTCACATCATCATGAATAGGATGATCCTCCTTTGTATGGTCTCCTCCCTAATCATCACCTTTACGATCAATCTCTGCTTCCCCTTCTTCATATCTTTGTGGTTCACTTTAGTGAATAATATGGAAATAATAGCAAATAACACTAGAACATTGACTAATTTTACCAAAAAAGTAAAAAAATTATAAAAGACAATAAACATTTAGAAAGTTAGATAATTAGTTTATATATAAATTGTATAATTAAGTTTCATCCATTAGACGTCGTCGAATTAAAATACAATGTAAAAAAACAACAAACTTGAACAAAAATCTATAATAAAACAAGGGAAAAATAAAACAGAAAAGCTTTCATGCATCTTTTTCCTTCACATCATCATGAATAGGATAATCCTCCTTCGTATGGTGTCCTTCCTAATTGTCAACTTCACGATCAACCTCTGCTTCCCCTTCTTCCTACCTTGCATCTTCTTCACATTAGTTGAGCTCATTTGGAAAGGAAGGGGTGTCTCCAAGTCGTGGCACATGTGTTGCAAACTCTTCTGGTGTAGGCCATTAGAAAGTTGCAATGTTTCCTCCTTGTTGGTATAGGGTAAAACAATAGAATGATCCATTTAGGTGTATGTATATCAACGATTCATTGTCATCTAGTGGGTGTGTGTGTGTGTGTGTATAGGCCTAATGGTTGGCCTTCAGTTGTTGCTATATTTGAGTCAAATGTTGTGTAATGTAACATTTTGTGGGTGTCATTTTAGGAATGGATGGTGGTGTTGTTGAAGAAGGACTAAACGGTGCATGTGACTGATCTACTGGGTTGTGTAACGTCCTTATTTCAAATTCAATACATATAAATAATTTTCCATTTAAATCAATAGAATAGTACAATGGCATAAAACTTCTGAGATTACTATAATCAAAAGTAAAGAAAAAGGCTATACATAAACTTCACTATACAATATATTAATTTACAAGCTGTATGTTTGAGTATATAAATATCAAAATAACAATTACAATACCAAACACCACAAAAAGGATCCCAGAGCAACCTCAGTTATACTCATCTCCAGCATTCCAACTCTCTATCTCGGCTAGGTCCTCGAAGTTTAAGTCGTCATTAGATCCCAGATACCCATCGCCAGAGTCAGCTCTGATCTCTGTTCTCGTGACACGCTCAAAGGTCCAACGGGTAGGTCTTCCTAGAGAGTCGTGGTCATGGTAGGTGTATAAGTAAGTAAGGGCTGTTGGAGTTCTAACTGTACCCCTATACATGTATACTCATAAAGTTTGGTGTATCCTACTCCTAGGGAAGTAAAATGGAATACTACAAGAAAAATTCATCTCTATCATGACATAAATCCTAGGGTCATTCTCTACCAATACAACAAATTTAAAATGATTTACACGCTGGTATTTATTAAATACGTAATTTAATCTAAAGTCTACAGAACTATCTACCAGCCTAAATCTTCCCTGCGGATTCGTCATCCTGGTTCCCTTAAATTATCAGTAAGGATGAGCACCTATCTTATCATTTAAAACATAATATTACTTTAAAGACTAACATAATAGCACAATCATGGTCATGGAATACAAGGAATCATAACAACATAAATCTCAAAGCAATATATTAGACATACACATATTCATAATTATTATGTTGCTCTCTTTCAGATACCCATATTCAGTGCACTGTGATCACAATTATACAATGCCTCTAATAGTTCTTGAGGTCTTACACAACTAGGTAAATAGTCGGCGGTTAGCCCATGTTTACGAATACAACGTATATAACAACGGGCCCTTTAGCAAAGATATAGTCAGGAAACGAGTGGGAGGTCATGTGGCGCATTTGCTCTCAGAAAGAATGTGTACACATGCACGAACGTCGCTCACCACCCTACATTTCTCCCAGATTTCCTATCATCTCTGGACTCTATACCCCAGTGTATTTATGTAACTATTCACACTAGAACCATTCAGTTTCTTACACTTATCTCATACTCCCTTTCGTACTAAACTCATTATTCAAGTAAGAGATTGTGCTTAGTAAAGCACTTCTGAACTAAATTCCAAACAAACGGACTACTTGAACATATTATTAACACCCAAAATCAGCCAAACATATTTTTCATAACAATTCAATGTCAATCAATCACAAGAATTATACTAAAACACATACATAAAGTACTCTCATGGTTACAAAATAATTATTATGCTTAAAATAACAAAATAGATCCCTCCTTACCATGAGACGAAATTTTGAAAGAGATTTTGTGAAGGGTTTTAGGTGAAAGGACCAAGATCTTCCTAGATATCACAAAAGAGAACATTTTGAGAAAGGAGAAACTTAGAAAACACCTAAAAAGAGAAAACAAAGCTCCAAGAACGTACTTGGAGTTGATTAATGAAGTTCCCAAGCTTGGATTTGAAAGAAAGTTGAGGTTTTGGAGAGATTTTCTAAGAAGAGAGGGTTAGGGGTCGAGAGAACAAGGGAGAGCTCGAAACTTAGATTGTAATCTAAGTTTTCTAACTTGGAAACCCTTAAATACCCCTAGACTCGCGACATTCTTGCTACAGCGATAAATTCTCACTATAGCAAGCCCTTCTCTCGCAGTAGTGAAAAAATCAGACAAAATTGCACTTTGTTGTCTGTCATTCTAGTTACAGCGAGAGCTCCTTGTTTCAATGAAAGCATCCTCGCTATAGCGAGAGAATTCTAGCTACAGTGAGAGGAATGTCTGATTTTTGGACACTCTTCTCACCATAGTGAGAGATATCTCGCTACAGCGAGATATCCTGCAACCTACATCATTTAAACTCTCTAAAATTCAAATAATTTCACAAATATAACCAACATTCAATGCTATAATAATAAATAAAAAAAATGAGAATGTTACAACTCTCTCACCCTTCAAAGAATTTCATCCCCAAAATTCACTAACTTAGGAAAAGGTAAGGATATGCTTCTTTCATTTTATCCTTAGGCTCCTAGGTAGCATCTCCTTCATCATTTGCATTCCATACTACCTTCACCAACGAAATGTCTTTACCCCTCAGTTGTTTGATTCGATGATCAGCAATCTTCACTAGAAATACATCATATGATAGATTCTCTCGAACTTGGATAGGATTGAGTTCAATCACATGAGAGGAATCGGGAATGTATTTTCTGAGTTGAGATACATGGAAGACTGGATGCAAGTTTGAAAGATTTGGTGGTAAGGCAAGCTGATAGGCCACAAGGCTAATTCTATGCAGAATTTCAAAGGGTCCAATGAATTTGAGAGATAACTTCTTAGATTTCAAAGCTCTACCAACTCCAGTAATAGGCAACACTCTCAAGAATACATGGTCACCAACTTGAAACTCTAGAGGCTTCCTTCGTTGATCGTAATAACTCTTCTGCCTATCTTGTGTGACCTTTATCTTCTCTCTAA